ATTTACATTTATCAAAGGCAGCAACTTCTAATAGCAGTTTTCCATGACTTATGAGTAGATTATCAAGAAGATCCATCCAGGCTCTTCACAGTGGTGTCTGGCAGGAAAAGACCACAGGTGAAAACTGAAAACATCTCAGGGTGCAAATTGCTAACATCTTTAAACAACCTGCTCCACTTTGTGTCTGTAGAAATTTTTTCACTATGTGGACAGACAAGCAGTGGAATAGGTTATCCAGAGAGGTTATGTTGTCTCCATCCTTGGAGGTTTTCAAAACTAACTGGATAAAGCCCAAGGCAACCTGGTCTGTTCATGTAGATGCTTTGAGCAGGAGACTGGATTAGAGATCTCAGGATGTCTCTTCTCCCTAAATTGTGTAAGGTGGTAGAAAAACATGAAAAACAATTTATACCAAACTAAAGTTAGTAGCTGGTTAAAATAAAAAATATCAATAAAGCCCTAATAGAGTCCTAGTAGTTTCAAAAAGAAATGAGTATCTTGTGTCAAGACCAAAAGCTTTTCACAGTGTGTGAAATTTACTGTAGCAGTATGAGCAAGGCAGTTTAGAATGGATCACAAGTTTAAGGGCAAACTACAGACCTTAGTCTTCAAATGAGTGGCAAGAAAATGGACTTCTGTAAACGGGAATAATGCATAAGCTCTCTGTACATTAAGAGCCCATTTGAATGCATTTATAGAATCTGTGCTTTAGCCTTCCTCTGTTTAACTTAGGAATGCATTTTTCCAATGGGAATGTAACTGAAATCCAGGTCTCAGGTTAACAGTTCAAAAATATGAGGCGGCTGAAGAAGTTTATATACTGACTTTGGACCTGAGGATGAAGAGCAGACACAGTGGACTAAAAAGAAGCCTTATGAAGTTTTCCTTTTAGAAAAGTATCTTCCTTTATTTAAAAAGATAGTTACAGACAGTAGGTGCATTGCTGCCTGTATAGAAGTAAAATTACTAAAATCCATTTATCTTGTGTCATCACGGTATGATTGTACTGACTGACTGTATATACAACTGAGAATGGATATAGCTGTATGATTCCCCCTGCATTTTCAATATAAATATATATGGTTTCTAAATCAATGCAAGATGTTATCAGTAAAATCTCACTAGGAAAGTCCATTTATGACTATATATATATAGTCATTAGCTAAAGAGTCTATCTATAGAGAGTCTATCTATATAGTCATATAGTCATAAGCTAAGTAGCTTCATTATTATGGTGAAATATTCTGTAGTTGTAGAGTCTAATTAAAAATACCTATTAGCCATTTTGTGATTGCTATGTCTAGATTGTATTTAAACTCTTAATTCCTTTTAATAAAACAGGTGAAACAAAAGTTTTTCAGAAAAAGATCATCAAAAGAAAATTCAATCAGCATTTGTTCTTCTTTTCCCCAACATTATTAGTAGAAGCTATTAAATGCTTTCAAAGTTCAATTTCTGCAAAAAATTAATGTGGCACTTCCTCAGGGTTACATTTTAGAGTTAATTTTTAACGTAAAAATATCAATACCTATAAATACTTACTGCACATGCTGTGGCCCATACACTACTCAACATTTATATGCAGATTTCTTACTGATGTTATTTGTATCTGCATGCACAGATTTAATTCAGTGTAATTTTAAAAATTGTTTTCTTAGAGGTTGTGTATCAAGTTTCGGCTCTGTGGAACTGAAAAAAAAAGTTCTCCCTTTTTTCTTTAAATGTTATTTTATGAAAAATAGTCAACTAGCTGCTTGGAAGCAAAATGTAAATGAAGAATCAAAGCAGGAGGATTTTACTGTGCCTTAGGTGCTTCTGTAGATACCATCTATAACTTGAGTTGTCTGCTGATGGGTGAACATCCTAAGACTGCATGTGGTAGCAAGACAGGGAAACTTTTACACAGCTATGAAGAGAGTATGTGCAGTTCTTACATGACACAAAAAGAAGGGAAGGTCTGGCAATCACTATTCACAGAGTAGTTCAGTAATGTACTCAGAGTGCATATGCTAGCATGAAAGGAGAAAATATTATTACCCTTTAAGATGGGGTATGAAGATAGAAAATAAAGTGCTATTGAGAATTTACTGTTACAAATGATGTTCAAACTATCTGGCAATTTTTGAGGCAACAGGGTGGGAACAACTGTCAGTGGTTCAGCTGATTTTGGAAAGTGTCCTGTGGAGTATGATAAATTCTGTTTCTTCCTCCCTCTTGTCCTGGAAATTCTCTTTCTTGTTAAAGAACCTCTCTTTGAAAAACTGTCAAGATCGATGCAGAATGTGAGAGCCATTCACCATTTTATCATGCTGTATCTTTGAATGGTGGAGTAAATGCTGGATTGTGATTTCCTCACACATGACATAATTAAAGTAAGAATTTATTGTGAGGAGTATTTTTCTCCAGTCTCTGCCATTTACTGTTGGCATTATTGTCTGCAGTGAGCTCCTTCAGCACATGGTATGGCTACTGTTTTTGTTGCTGTACAACTCTTCCATTTTGCTTAGGACTGTGCTTTCTGTTGAAATGTCCTTGTCAGACTTGTTTCTAAGTGCTATTGTAACCTTTAGTGGGTGCAGAATTTTTCTCTGTAGCAACTAGTTTATCCTCAACAGTCCTTGGATGCTGTCATAAAAAGGCCTTTGTCTCAAGTACTCTAAGGTCAAGAGTAAGTGCTGTTTAAGATTATGCTTTCAGATAGATAAACTTTTTCCTTTAAAGTCATACATATATTCATTCTAAAAAGTGGAATAATGTATCATTGTCAAGTGAGACAAGTATTGTTTGTTATGGAACTTATCAGAAAGCCATTTTAGGATGTAATCATTTGTTAATGATAATAAATGTAGATTGATAAAATCCTAGTTTTACACCATTCCTCTCCAATTCATTCTGAAAAATTGCCAAAAGAGAATTCTCTTACTCATATTTCTTCATTGTAGAAGAGTGTAGGAGGCCTGGCATTGCGCTTCAGGAAACTTAGCCTCTTATTTCACTTACTTTCATATAGTGCTGTTTCGGAATTTATTGATTGCCAAAAGAATTGAACATTTTGGGGATAACACATATTAGCAAAAATGGCCACATGTAGTATTACATTTTTATATCAGTAATTCTAGCAGATCTTTGTTTCCTCAATCGGTAAAGACTTTTTGTTGTTGTTGTTCATATGGTGGTATACTAGTTCAAGGATATAGAAACAGACTTACAAAAGCTCTGAAGAAAATCTTGAGATACGAAGACATAGACCTGCATTTTGGATCTCTGTCTCTCAGGCTGGAATATGTGATTGTCCTGTTCTGTCATGAGACATCTGCAAGAACTTCCCTAAAGCTTTACTCCACTGCAGATGCAAACAACATGCATATGTATATGTTTTTCATTTTTCATTTAACGACCAAGGGTTGGATTTCCGATTGTATTTGTTAAAAGAGCCTGATATTCATTAAGGCTGTCTTAATGTTTTAACACCAAAATTTACAACTGCCAATAGACTTCCAAATGGTCTGCATCTGCTTTCTCTGTCTTTGTGAAGTTGCATCTTCTGACAGTCTCTAGTGACTTGGCTTCAGACTCTTATGGTAATACTGATAGTTGCCTCACAAACTATTAATAACATGAGTTGTTATGTTTCTCCAACTTCTACATGTTGACCTATGATTTTTAATCAAAATTAGTTTTAGTTTCTTACTTTAGTCTTTCCTTTCTCCATCAGTTGGAATACCATCAGTAATATGCAATCCATAAAAACTCTGCTGTGGAATAAAACTTTGCTGTCTGATAAATACCTATAAGTTCTGAATACCAATGGAAATTAAGTGTATGACATGTTTTTGACCAGCAAAAAAATTAAATTAACAGCACCAAGAGAGTTTCACAGTGTAGCATAGAAATATTTTACTAGGGTAGGTCTAATGATATGTTAAATTTGCATAACAATAGACCATAGCAGAACTTTAACGTGCTAGAATATGGTGTGGGATTGTGAATGTTGCACAGTCTACACAATACCAACTAAGCAAAATAACGTATATAAATATATGAATTTATATGGTTTTATAGGGGATAAATATTTGTATCTTGTTTTAAAACAGGTATTCTGAAAATGGTGTTATTTGCAGCTATGTTACAGAGATAAAAGTATTTTATGGTACTTGTACCATTTCTGCCATTTCATGCCTACATTTGCATATATTTTACAAGGAATCCTTAGTTTACAACTTGCACAGAGCTACACAGACATATGAAGAATAGTCTTTCAAGACCTGTTGACAGAGATTAGAAGTAGATGCTGTAGATTCCTTTTCACTATGATTTCCATTAACTTTTAAATAAAAAATACTATAGATCATTTACTAATCTGCTATGAGTTATTGCTGTAACAAAAACTAAATGTAAATTGACAAAATACACTTGTATTATATTGTATGATTTAATTTGAAATGTTACAATTGATAGTCAGTTATCTAAATGTTTCATAATGATTTCTGTAAACTAGTAAGGACAGCTGTACTCTGTTAGAACTTACTCCTTGAAGCAATCTTTCAGGTGCAGCACTTCCCATTTTTAGAAGTTCTTCAGTAAGAAAACTGCTTCCTGTCCCTTTCCCTGCACTTGTATAAGCATATATACATGGGCTTCACAAATATGTTAGCATCTAAAGAGCACAGCGAAGAAATGACAGAGGGAAGACATACGCTTACAAAGTTTTAGAAGATGGGATAGTGGATGTTCATATTTTCTGCAGGAAGTGGTATTTTTCTTCACTTCTACCCCTGTAATAATGCTTTAAATATTCTGTGTTATCTCAGGTTTAGCAAACAGGAAGCAGGATAACTGTTTCCTTAATTATAAGGAGAAGAGAGTTTCACATTTCAGTCTACCTAGTACAAGAAAAATCTCTTCCATACGAAGTTTGTGTATTGCCTAATCTGATTGTCTGCTTCAACATGTTTCTTCTAACTTATAGCTTGTTTCTCTTTTTGTATTTCTGTTAACAGAAAGCTGACCTTGCAGTTGCACCATTGGCAATTACCTATGTTCGAGAGAAGGTCATCGACTTTTCCAAGCCCTTTATGACTCTTGGAATAAGTATTTTGTACCGCAAGCCCAATGGTACAAACCCCGGCGTCTTCTCCTTCCTGAATCCTCTCTCCCCTGATATCTGGATGTATATTCTGCTGGCTTACTTGGGTGTCAGTTGTGTGCTCTTTGTCATAGCCAGGTAACATGTCAACTTTTGTGATTTTTTTGGCAATTGTTATAATCTTTTTCTTACTAATGATTGTCAAAAGTCACAAAAATTTTCTTACTTTCATACTCTTATAACTTCATGATGTAAAGAAGAATAATTAATGATGAGGGTTTTCACTATTAATCTTCTCCACCACCATACTAAGTCTCCAGTTTCTTATATCACTATGTCCTAAGTATGCTAGGAAGCTTTCTCCTTTTATTTATAAATATAGAGACACTAGAAAGTTTACAAAATGTCTTTTCCCAATTATGCTGTGTTCAAAAAGACAGGGGTTGACATATTTTATTTTGTTAGCCTGATTTTGTTTGATGCTATGCTGCTTAATCTCAAATTGAGTGCTTAGCTGCCTGTGTTAATCCTAGAGGTCAAAACTGGGCCTCTGCCTATTATAAGTCACTTAATGTAGATTAGTATTTTAGAAGGAAGGTAAGACTATTTAGTTTTTACCTGTGTGCTATAAAAAAATCCCTGAGATACTTCACATAGTTTAAAATCTGAGACTATTTGGAAGCATGTTTAGTTGAGCTTTGGAGTTAAGAAACTCTATACAACAGTTGTTAAATTCTAAACTGATTTAATATATAGGGCTCTCTTTAGAGAAGGAGAAAAACATCTGTTGTCAAAAATTTCCATTTTATTTACCTTTTCCTTTTTAAGTAATTAAGACTGACTCCAGATGCTCCCAGAAATAGTCTAACATGATATAACATTTACTTTTGCTGTGACAGAAACAACAACAACAAAAAAAATCAGTAAAAAAACCCCAGTAAATCAGCAGTTCACAGGGATGCAGTAGTCCTAGTAGTCAAATATTTTTTTAGTCAAACACATATTAATATTATCGGCTTTTATATCTTCAATAAGTTGTTATTTTTTACTTGATAATTCAATCTCACTTCAGTCCGAGGATTATTATTTCATTCTGTGGAACAAAGTATAACTTCATGTTTTTCTTTACCTATTGTGCTGTAGTTGATAGCAGGACTCTCCATCCTTCCCTGATACTATCTGCTTAATTTTGGAGGAATTGTATCATTCCTCTACTAAGGGGAAAAAAATATATTTAGAAACAGGTTTAAAAACAATTTAGCAAGATCACCTGTACATAAGATATTGTAGTAATATAGATAACACTGAAACATATTTTGTAATTAGTAACTTCACTTATGTGCCTTCTTTAAAAGTTTGCTTTAAAAAGCCACTTACATTGAAAGCTTCTTGAAAGAACAGTATATTTTAGTGGACTATATAACCAGTGAGTAAATTAATTTCTGAGGTGCTCCTGTGATACAGATACTTCTTAAAGCAGAGTCAAGCATAAATCACAAATATTATCTTTTGAAACACCTCATGTAAAATGTTTATATGTATGATCAAGAGTTCTAAACCTATGGCTATCACTGAAGGGCATTTCAGCATGTTGCACTGTGCTTTCGATAGACAGCTTCCAGTAATGCTAGTAAGAGTCCCATAGCTGAGTTCCTACTTTGAAAATATGTCTTTTCATATTTTGCAGGAAAGATATGTGTTCTTGAAGCTTTTTATTTTTTTTTTCTGAGCTATTCAGACACCTGATCTCACTATCAGAACTGGGAAGAACTTTTTAAACAGAAACACTACATAGTAGATCATTATAGCTGAACTTTTTTCACTTATTTGTCTTTGTGTTGAGCACCATAAATTCCTTACACATTTGGAAGCATTGTCTTCATTGTAAAACAAGGTGAAATATGTTTTATACTGAGCAGAGAAGGGGTTTGTTTTGGGATTTTTTTTTGTAGAGTTTTATAAAATACCTTTTTTAATGCCTGTTTATATCAGCCTTCATATCTAAGTTTTTTAATAACACTTAATTGCCTAACCAAATATTGATATCAAATTTAGAAATAAAATATTTAGGATTATGTAAGTCAATCTACAAATTTTATCCATAATTTGGAATGAATTAGTAGTATATAATAACATTTTCTAATGCTATAGTTCATATAGGGAAACAGGTGGAAGCTAAATATGAAATCTGCTGAATATTACAGAGAGAAAAGAACATTATTCAAAAGTAAGAGGCTTTTGCGAACAGAATTCACAAAATGCATCCATCATGTAAAGGAAAATACTGCTAATTGAAGTGTGGTTGTGAAGAGGACTTTGCAGTATAGTGCTGACTATCTATTTTCAGTACAGATTATAAATTAGGTATTACACAGCTGATGATGTATTTTTCAGTCCTGGTGTCATGAAACTCTTGGACTGTATCTCAGTAAATTAATAGGTTCCACCTAGAGTATGTTACTAAGAAGATTTCTGTTTCATAATAATCCTTCCATAATGAATGTTTGACTACCAGTGTTTCATAATACTTACTGTGTTTCATAATAACGTGTACTTCTGTTTGGAGCAGCACTTAGTATGTCTTTTATGATATGATGTTTTGTAATTGCATCAGAGTGTGCAGTGTAGAATATTTGTTTTTAGATTTACACCTCCCATTTTCTGTCAAATTTTTCATTATTTTATTGTTTTACCATTGTCTTCCAGACAGTGTTGGAATATAAGAGCTTGGTACAATGAAAATGAAAAGTACAGTTCTTTTTATGGTACTTGGATTTCACCCATTAATTAGTGCTATGGTCATATTTAGGGAAGGTTGAAGAAATCAGTAAAAGGTTCAAGAATCTTTGAGAGAGAATTGCTGAAAAGAGTAATATATTAGGCATAAGTGGAGAAAAAAAGTAACATAAATCTTCATTAGTCTTTTCCTTTGTTTGTCGAAGCATTGGATTTTCCTTCCAATTTGACAACCAGATATAAAAAGATTCAGTCTTTCCATACACAACAAGACAAAAAGCTAGGAGGGAGATGGATTTTTTAGCTGTAGGGCTTTTCTATGTCATTTTCGTTGTGTAGTCCCCACCCAAAATGATGAGTCATCTATTTAATGTAGGCATTGCAGTTTTTGCATTGTGATGCAAAAATGAACATGTGAATGAAGATATGTGTGTTCTGTGCTGTTCTTTTTAGCTGCCTTTCTGTGTGGGGAATTATAGTAGGCAGTGATTCCTTCATATATATGGAATCCTCAATCTTGTTTTTTCTGTTTGTTGAATCTAAGTAGTTATGGTGGTCTCTGAGTTCCTTGTCATACAGGCTGATGACTGATAGATAAACCCAGTCTGCTTGACACTAAGTCCGTTGCTTTTCTGTGAACTGAGAAAGTCATATCATATAGCTTTTTTTTTTTTTTTTTCTCTTGTGGCAACAGTAATAGATCTGTTTCTGATGTTAGCTAGCAGTGTCTCTGTGTCACTGTTAGGAGTGTCTTCTGTCATCTAAAGTCTTGTAGCTTTCCAATTCCAGTATCTTCACTCTACGCCTCTGCCTTTACTTGTTTCTTTGATTTAGAATTCCAGTTAAATTCATAGTTTACATGTGATTAAAGGAATGAAGAATGGAATAAAGTGTGCCAACTCTTTTTTGTCTTCTGTCAAGCACACAATGTTTTCTCTTCTATGTAATGAAAAATCTTGGCTACTGGAATTTCATTTCATTTCTCTCTGTTGGTGCAAACCATTGATTCGTTTCTGAGAAACATGCTGGTTTCTTACAGTGTTGTATACCAACTTTGTAGACGCATAGTTTCTCTTTTCCATTAGCCTATGTATATGAAACTGGCATTTTTGGTCTCTGAAAAATCGATGTATTGGTAACTTGAGGATACTTCCCATTCTGCGTAGGCAGTATGAAGGAAATCAGCTTCATACTTTTTAAAAATGTTAAATATGTTTGATATGCATAGGTCTTTCAATATGTGTGGTTTTGTTAGCATAAGGACTGACACACAACCACCGGAATGGTTATATGAGGTGCTTTATTGCAGCGCTGGGAAACCAGGGGCACGCGCCCAAATCTGGCTTTGACCTCGTCATATCGCGTTCGCAATTTATACACTGAAGGTTACATAACTAATACATATTAAATACAGATTGCATCATTAACTAATACATATGCATTAAGGATTGCCACATCAGTCTATTATGACATCAGCCTCTTCTGCACTTGCGCAGCCCCCCTCTGGTGGTCGTCCTGATGAAGTAAGGAGTCTTCCTCGGATGAAGTAAGAAGTCTTCCTCGGCTTGTTCTTTTTACCTTTTTGTCCTCTGGACATATCCCAACCATTATGTGGACGCCAGCATTGTTCTATTTTCCCTTGACTACCTCTGGTAATTTCTAGGTTCTGCTTGGGTAGAATTTCACAATATACCTCTCTAAATTCACCCATACACCCTTCACCTTATATGGTTATATAAGCTCTTGCTACCAAGACTACCATTGTATCACTGGTTACAGGTTAACCATGATACCGGACTGCAGACCGAACTGCAAAATTATAGCTCTTTCTAATCTACAAAATCACACTATTGATTTATAAACCTCTCAAACATAATCATTCCTACCATTTTATATGATTATTTATCTTAAAAACTTCACTCTTTTCTAACAGTTGGAAACATCCATGTCTTCATGAATCTTTCCTGAAAAGACAAGTTGGAGGCTGAACTCCTTAAATGTTTTTATGCAATCATTTTCCATCAGATTTGCTGCATTTCAAGTTATTCCTTGCACATTGAAATATTTCTCTGTGTAGTAAGGTCTGCTTGCTGTGAACATGCCTGTATGTCATAAAGTGCATTTAAGTGACTTATCTTCATAACTGGAAGAGGTACCCCTGCTTTGATGTGATGCTTCACCTTTATGGATCAGCTGTGAAGCAGATAAACTACCCTGGATAAAATCGTCCACTAATGAGCTCTTATGCTTCTTATACTGACCTGTCTGAAGTATCACCAAATATTGCATAAATATACATTAAACTGCCCTAATCACTAATACTAAATCGTGGATTATAATTTTAAAGAGCTAGATTTACCTTAACTTGTACCATATTCTGTACATTAGGACATTCTGCTTTT